CGTCCACGTCCACGACCACGTCCACGTCCACGTCCACGTCCACGACAATGTCCACGTTCACGTCCACGTCAAGGTCCACGTCCACGACAAGGTCCATGTCCACGTCCACGTCCACGTCCACGTTCACGTCCACGTCCATGTTCACGTCCACGTCCACGTCCACGTCCACGTCCACGTCCATGTCCACGTCCACGTCCATGTCCACGTCCACGTCCACGTCCACGTCCACGTCCACGTCCACGTCCATGTCCACGTCCATGTCCACGTCCACGTCCATTTCCACGTCCACGTCCACGTCCACGTCCACGTCCAGGTCCATGTCCACGTCCAGGTCCATGTCCACGTCCACGTCCACGTCCACGTCCACGACAATGTCCACGTCCACGTCCACGTCCACGTCTATGTCCACGTCACCGTCCACGTCCACGTCCACGACACACGTCCACGTCCACGACCACGTCCACGTCCACGACAATGTCCACGTCCACGTCCACGTCCACGACAATGTCCACGTCCACGTCCACGTCCCGTCCACGTCCACGTCCATGTCCACGTCCACGTCCACGTCCATGTCCACGTCCACGTCCACGACCACGTCCACGTCCACGCCCGACCACGTCCACGTCCACGTCCACGTCCACGTCCACGACAATGTCCACGTCCACGTCCACGTCCACGTCAATGTCCACGTCCACGTCCACGTCCACGTCCATGACAATGTCCACGTCCACGTCCACGTCCACGTCCACGTCTAGGTCCACGTCCACGTCCACGACCACGTCCACGTCCACGTCCACGTCCACGTCCACGTCACGTCCACGTCCAAGTCCACGTCCACGTCCACGTCCACGTCCACGTCGACGTCCACGTCCACCGTCCACGTCCACGTCCACGTCCACGTCCACGACCACGTCCACGTCCACGTCCACGTCCACGTCCACGTCCACGTCCACGTCCACGTCCACGTCCACGTCCACGTCAAGGTCCACGTCCACGTCCACGTCCACGACCACGTCCACGTCCACGTCCACGTCCACGTCCACGTCAATGTCCACGTCCACGTCCACGTCCACGTCCAACGTCCGACCACGTCCACGTCCACGTCCACGTCCACGTCACGTCCAGTCGATGTCCACGTCCACGTCCACGTCCACGTCCATGTCCACGTCCACGTCCACGTCCACGTCCACGACCACGTCCACGTCCACGTCCACGTCCACGTCCACGTCCACGTCCACGTCCACGTCCTATTCCACGTCCATGTCCACGTCCACGTCCACGTCCACGTCCATGTCCACGTCCATGTCCACGTCCACGTCCACGTCCACGTCCTCGTCCATGTCCACGTCCATGTCCACGTCCATGTCCACGTCCATGTCCACGTCCACGTCCACGTCCACGTCCTCCACGTCCACGTCCACGTCCATCTCCACGTCCACGTCCACGTCCACCTCCACGTCCACGTCCACGTCCACGTCCACGTCCACGTCCATGTCCCCGTCCACGTCCACGTCCACGTCCACGACAATGTCCACGTCGACGTCCACGTCCACGTCCACGTCCACGTCATATCCACGTCCACGTCCACGACCACGTCCACGTCCACGACAATGTCCACGTCCACGTCCACGTCCACGTCCACGTCCACGTCCACGTCCACGACCACGTCCAGTCCACGTCCACGTCCACGTCCACGACCACGTCCACGTCCACGTCCACGTCCACGTCCACGACCACGTCCACGTCCACGACCACGTCCACGTCCACGTCCATGTCCACGTCCACGTCCACGTCCACGTCCACGTCCACGTCCACGTCCACGTCCACGTCCACAAACACGTCCACGTCCACGTCCACGTCCACGTCCACGTCCACGTCCACGACCACGTCCACGCCACGTCCACGTCCACGTCCACGTCCACGTCCACGACCACGTCCACGTCCATGACCACGTCCACGTCCACGTCCCCTGTCCACGTCCACGTCCACGTCCACGTCGACGTCCACGTCCAAGTCCACGTCCACGTCCACGTCCACGTCCGGTCCACGTCCACGTCCACGTCCACGTCCAGGTCCACGTCCACGACCACGTCCACGTCCACGTCCAGGTCCACGTCCACGTCCACGACCACGTCCACGTCCCAGGTCCACGTCCACGTCCACGTCCACGTCCACGTCCACGTCCACGTCCACGTCCATGTCCACGTCCATGTCCACGTCCATGTCCACGTCCACCTCCACGTCCACGTCCACGTCCACCTCCACATCCACGTCCACGTCCTCCACGTCTACGTCCACGTCCACCTCCACGTCCACGTCCACGTCCACGTCCACGTCCACGTCCACGTCCATGTCCCCGTCCACGTCCACGTCCACGTCCACGTCCACGTCCACGTCCACATGTCCACGACCACGTCCACGTCCATGACCACGTCCACGTCCACGTCCCTGTCCACGTCCACGTCCACGTCCACGTCCACGTCCAAGTCCACGTCCACGTCCACATCCACGTCCAGGTCCACGTCCACGTCCACGTCCACGTCCACGTCCACGTCCACGACCACGTCCACGTCCACGTCCACGTCCACGTCCACGTCCACGTCCATTCACGTCCACGTCCACGTCCACGTCCACGTCCACGTCCACCTCCACGTCCACGTCCACGTCCTCCACGTCCACGTCCACGTCCACCTCCACGTCCACGTCCACGTCCACGTCCACGTCCACGTCCACCTCCACGTCCACGTCCACGTCCACGTCCATGTCCACGTCCACGTCCACGTCCACGTCCACGTCCACGTCCACGTCCAGTCGTCCACGTCCACGTCCACCTCCACGTCCACGTCCACGTCCACGTCCATGTCCATGTCCACGTCCACGTCCACGTCCACGTCCACGTCCACGACCACGTCCACGTCCACGACAATGTCCACGTCGACGTCCACGTCCACGTCCACGTCCACGACAAGGTCCATGTCCACGTCCACGTCCACGTCCACGTCCACGTTCACGTCACGTCCATGTCCACGTCCACGTTCCACGTCCACGTCCACGTCCACGTCCCGTCCACGTCCACGTCCACGTCCATGTCCACGTCCACGTCCATGTCCACGTCCATGTCCACGTCCAGTCCACGTCCACGTCCACGTCCACGTCCGTCCACGTCCACTCCACGTCACATCCACGTCCATGTCCACGTCCACGTCCACGTCCACGTCCACGTCCACGTCCACGTCCACGACACATTCCACGTCCATGTCCAGTCCACGTCCAGTCCACGACCACGTCCACGTCCACGTCCACGTCCACGTCCACGTCCACGTCCACGTCCACGTCCACGTCCACGTCCATGTCCACGTCCACGTCCACGTCCACGTCCACGACCACGTCCACGTCCACGACCACGTCCACGTCCACGTCCATGTCCACGTCCACGTCCACGTCCACGTCCACGTCCACGTCCACGTCCACGTCCACGTCCACGTCCACGTCCACGTCCACGTCCACGACCACCTCCACGACCACGTCCACGTCCACGTCCACGTCCACGTCCACGTCCACGTCCACGACCACGTCCACGTCCACGTCCACGTCCACGTCCACGACCACGTCCACGACCACGTCCCTGTCCACGTCCCTGTCCATGTCCACGTCCACGTCCACGTCCACGTCCACGTCCATGTCCACGTCCATGTCCACGACCACGTCCACGTCCACGTCCACGTCCACGTCCACGTCCACGTCCACGTCCACGTCCACCTCCACGTCCACGTCCACGTCCACGTCCACGTCCACGTCCACGTCCACGTCCACGTCCACGTCCCCGTCCACGTCCCCGTCCACGTCCACGTCCACGTCCACGTCCACGTCCAAGTCCTCCACGTCCACGTCCACGTCCACGTCCACGTCCACGTCCATGTCCACGTCCACGTCCACGTCCACAACCATGTCCACGTCCATGTCCACGTCCACCTCGATGTCCACGACAATGTCCACGTCCACGTCCACGTCCATGTCCACGTCCACGTCCACGTCCACGTCCAAGTCCACGTCCACGTCCACGTCCACGACCACGTCCACGACCACGTCCACGTCCACGTCCACGACCACGTCCACGTCCACGACCACGTCCACGTCCACGTCCACGTCCACGTCCACGGTCCACGTCCACGACCACGTCCACGTCCACGTCCACGTCGACGTCCACGACCACGTCCACGACCACGTCCACGTCCACGTCCACGTCCACGTCCACGACCACGTCCACGTCCATGACCACGTCCACGTCCACGTCCCTGTCCACGTCCACGTCCACGTCCACGTCCAAGTCCACGTCCACGTCCACGTCCACGTCCACGTCCAGGTCCACGTCCACGTCCACGTCCACGTCCAGGTCCACGTCCACGACCACGTCCACATCCAGGTCCACGTCCACGTCCACGACCACGTCCACGTCCAGGTCCACGTCCACGTCCACGTCCTCGTCCACGTCCATGTCCACGTCCATGTCCACGTCCTCGTCCACGTCCACGTCCACGTCCATGTCCACGTCCATGTCCACGTCCACGTCCACGTCCACGTCTTCGTCCATGTCCACGTCCATGTCCACGTCCATGTCCACGTCCACGTCCACGTCCACGTCCACGTCCACCTCCTCCACGTCCACGTCCACGTCCACCTCCACGTCCACGTCCACGTCCACCTCCACGTCCACGTCCACGTCCACGTCCACGTCCACGTCCATGTCCCCGTCCACGTCCACGTCCACGTCCACGACAATGTCCACGTCGACGTCCACGTCCACGTCCACGTCCACGTCCATATCCACGTCCACGTCCACGACCACGTCCACGTCCACGACAATGTCCACGTCCACGTCCACGTCCACGTCCACGTCCACGACCACGTCCATGTCCACGTCCACGTCCACGTCCACGACCACGTCCACGACCACGTCCACGTCCACGTCCACGACCACGTCCACGTCCACGACCACGTCCACGTCCATGTCCACGTCCACGTCCACGTCCACGTCCACGTCCACGTCCACGTCCACGTCCACGTCCACGACCACGTCCACGTCCACGTCCACGTCCACGTCCACGTCCACGTCCACGACCACGTCCACGACCACGTCCACGTCCACGTCCACGTCCACGTCCACGACCACGTCCACGTCCATGACCACGTCCACGTCCACGTCCCTGTCCACGTCCACGTCCACGTCCACGTCCACGTCCAAGTCCACGTCCACGTCCACATCCACGTCCACGTCCAGGTCCACGTCCACGTCCACGTCCACGTCCAGGTCCACGTCCACGACCACGTCCACGTCCACGTCCAGGTCCACGTCCACGTCCACGACCACGTCCACGTCCAGGTCCACGTCCACGTCCACGTCCACGTCCACGTCCACGTCCACGTCCATGTCCACGTCCATGTCCACGTCCATGTCCACGTCCACCTCCACGTCCACGTCCACGTCCACCTCCACGTCCACGTCCACGTCCTCCACGTCTACGTCCACGTCCACCTCCACGTCCACGTCCACGTCCACGTCCACGTCCACGTCCACGTCCACGTCCATGTCCCCGTCCACGTCCACGTCTACGTCCATGTCCACGTCCACGTCCACGTCCACGTCCATGTCCACGTCCACGTCCACGTCCACGTCCACGTCCACGTCCATGTCCACGTCCACGTCCATGTCCACGTCCATGTCCACGTCCATGTCCACGTCCATGTCCACGTCCACGTCCACGTCCACGTCCACGTCCACGTCCACGTCCACGACAATGTCCACGTCGACATCCACGTCCACGTCCACGTCCACGTCCACGTCCATGTCCACGTCCATGTCCACGTCCACGTCCACGTCCACGTCCACGTCCACGTCCACGACAATGTCCACGTCGACATCCACGTCCACGTCCACGTCCACGTCCACGTCCACGTCTATGTCCACGTCCACGTCCACGTCCACGTCCACGACCACGTCCACGTCCACGACAATGTCCACGTCGACGTCCACGTCCACGTCCACGTCCACGACAAGGTCCATGTCCACGTCCACGTCCACGTCCACGTCCACATTCACGTCCACGTCCATGTCCACGTCCACGTCCACGTCTACGTCCACGTCCACGTCCACGTCCACGTCCATGTCCACGTCCACGTCCACGTCCACGTCCATGTCCACGTCCATGTCCACGTCCACGTCCACGTCCACGTCCACGTCCACGTCCACGTCCACGTCCACGTCCACGTCCACGTCCACGTCCACGTCCACGTCCATGTCCATGTCCACGTCCATGTCCACGTCCACGTCCACGACCACGTCCATGTCCACGTCCACGTCCACGTCCACGTCCACGTCCACGTCCACGTCCATGTCCACGTCCACGTCCACGTCCACGTCCACGTCCACGACCACGTCCACGTCCACGACCACGTCCACGTCCACGTCCACGTCACGTCCACGTCCACGTCCACGTCCACGTCCACGTCCACGTCCCCACGACCACGTCCACGACCACGTCCACGTCCACGTCCACGTCCACGTCCACGTCCACGTCCACGACCACGTCCACGTCCACGTCCACGTCCACGTCCACGTCCACGTCCACGACCACGTCCACGACCACGTCCCTGTCCACGTCCCTGTCCACGTCCACGTCCACGTCCCTGTCCACGTCCACGTCCACGTCCACGTCCATGTCCACGCACCACGTCCACGTCCACGTCCACGTCCACGTCCACGTCCACGTCCACGTCCACGTCCACGTCCACGTCCACCTCCACGTCCACGTCCACGTCCACGTCCACGTCCACGTCCATGTCCACGTCCACGTCCACGACCACGTCCACGTCCACGTCCACGTCCACGTCCACGTCCACGTCCACGTCCACGTCCACGTCCACGACCACGACCACGACCACGTCCACGTCACGTCCACGTCCACGTCCACGTCCACGACCACGTCCACGTCCACGTCCACGTCCACGTCCACGTCCACGACCACGTCCACGACCACGTCCCTGTCCACGTCCACGTCCACGTCCCTGTCCACGTCCACGTCCACGTCCACGTCCATGTCCACGACCACGTCCACGTCCACGTCCACGTCCACGTCCACGTCCACGTCCACGTCCACGTCCACGTCCACGTCCACCTCCACGTCCACGTCCACGTCCACGTCCACGTCCACGTCCACGTCCACGTCCACGTCCCCGTCCACGTCCCCGTCCACGTCCACGTCCACGTCCACGTCCACGTCCAAGTCCTCCACGTCCACGTCCACGTCCACGTCCACCTCCACGTCCACGTCCAAGTCCTCCACGTCCACGTCCACGTCCACGTCCACGTCCATGTCCACGTCCACGTCCACGTCCACAACCATGTCCACGTCCATGTCCACGTCCACCTCGATGTCCACGACAATGTCCACGTCCACGTCCACGTCCACGTCCATGTCCACGTCCACGTCCACGTCCACGTCCAAGTCCACGTCCACGTCCACGTCCACGACCACGTCCACGACCACGTCCACGTCCACGTCCACGACCACGTCCACGTCCACGACCACGTCCACGTCCACGTCCACGTCCACGTCCACGTCCACGTCCACGTCCACGTCCACGACCACGTCCACGTCCACGTCCACGTCGACGTCCACGACCACGTCCACGACCACGTCCACGTCCACGTCCACGTCCACGACCACGTCCACGTCCATGACCACGTCCACGTCCACGTCCCTGTCCACGTCCACGTCCACGTCCACGTCCACGTCCAAGTCCACGTCCACGTCCACGTCCACGTCCACGTCCAGGTCCACGTCCACGTCCACGTCCACGTCCAGGTCCACGTCCACGACCACGTCCACATCCAGGTCCACGTCCACGTCCACGACCACGTCCACGTCCAGGTCCACGTCCACGTCCACGTCCACGTCCACGTCCACGTCCACGTCCATGTCCACGTCCACGTCCACGTCCATGTCCACGTCCACCTCCACGTCCACGTCCACGTCCACGTCCACGTCCACGTCCTCCACGTCTACGTCCACGTCCACCTCCACGTCCACGTCCACGTCCACGTCCACGTCCACGTCCACGTCCACGTCCATGTCCCCGTCCACGTCCACGTCCACGTCCACGTCCACGTCCACGTCCACGTCCACGTCCACGTCCACGTCCATGTCCACGTCCACGTCCACGTCCACGTCCATGTCCACGTCCAAGTCCTCCACGTCCACGTCCATGTCCACGTCCACGTCCACGTCCACGTCCACGTCCATGTCCACGTCCATGTCCACGTCCACGTCCACGTCCACGTCCATGTCCACGTCCACGTCCATGTCCACGTCCATGTCCACGTCCACGTCCACGTCCACGTCCACGTCCACGTCCACGACAATGTCCACGTCGACATCCACGTCCACGTCCACGTCTATGTCCACGTCCACGTCCACGTCCACGACCACGTCCACGTCCACGACAATGTCCACGTCGACGTCCACGTCCACGTCCACGTCCACGACAAGGTCCATGTCCACGTCACGTCCACGTCCACGTTCACGTCCACGTCCATGTCCACGTCCACGTCCACGTCTACGTCCACGTCCACGTCCACGTCCACGTCCATGTCCACGTCCACGTCCACGTCCACGTCCATGTCCACGTCCATGTCCACGTCCACGTCCACGTCCACGTCCACGTCCACGTCCACGTCCACGTCCATGTCCACGTCCACGTCCACGTCCACGTCCACGTCCACGTCCACGTCCACGTCCACGACCATGTCCACGTCCACGTCCACGTCCACGTCCACGACCACGTCCACGTCCACGTCCACGTCCACGTCCACGTCCATGTCAACGTCCACGTCCACGTCCACGTCCACGTCCACGACCACGTCCACGTCCACGACCACGTCCACGTCCACGTCCATGTCCACGTCCACGTCCACGTCCACGTCCACGTCCACGTCCACGTCCACGACCACGTCCACGACCACGTCCACGTCCACGTCCACGTCCACGTCCACGTCCACGTCCACGTCCACGTCCACGACCACGTCCACGACCACGTCCACGTCCACGTCCACGTCCACGTCCACGTCCACGACCACGTCCACGTCCACGTCCCTGTCCACGTCCACGTCCACGTCCACGTCCACGTCCACGTCCACGTCCACGTCCACGTCCACGTCCACGACCACGTCCACGTCCACGTCCACGTCCACGTCCACGTCCACGTCCACGTCCACCTCCACGTCCACGTCCACGTCCACGTCCACGTCCACGTCCACGTCCACGTCCACGTCCCCGTCCACGTCCCCGTCCACGTCCACGTCCACGTCCACGTCCACGTCCACGTCCACCTCCACGTCCACGTCCAAGTCCTCCACGTCCACGTCCACGTCCACGTCCACGTCCACGTCCACGTCCATGTCCACGTCCACGTCCACGTCCACAACCATGTCCACGTCCATGTCCACGTCCACCTCGATGTCCACGACAATGTCCACGTCCACGTCCACGTCCATGTCCACGTCCACGTCCACGTCCACGTCCAAGTCCACGTCCACGTCCACGTCCACGTCCACGTCCACGTCCACGTCCATGTCCACGTCCATGTCTACGTCCACGTCCACCTCCACGACAATGTCCACGACAATGTCCACGTCCACGTCCACGTCCACGTCCATGTCCACGTCCACGTCCACGTCCACGTCCACGTCCATGTCCACGTCCAAGTCCTCCACGTCCACGTCCACGTCCATGTCCACGTCCATGTCCACGTCCATGTCCACGTCCACGTCCACGTCCACGTCCACAACCATGTCCACGTCTATGTCCACGTCCACCTCGATGTCCACGACAATGTCCACGTCCACGTCCACGTCCACGTCCAAGTCCACGTCCACGTCCACGTCCACGTCCACGTCCAAGTCCACGTCCACGTCCATGTCCACGTCCACGTCCACGTCCACGTCCATGTCCACGTCCATGTCTACGTCCACGTCCACCTCCACGACAATGTCCACGTCCACGTCCACGTCCACGTCCACGTCCAAGTCCACGTCCACGTCCACGTCCACGTCCACGTCCACGTCCACGTTTACGTCCACGTCCACGTCCATGTGCACGTCCATGTCCACGTCCACGTCCACGTCCACGTCCACGTCCAAGTCGTCCACGTCCACGTCCACGTCCACGTCCACGTCCACGTCCACCACCACGTCCACGTCCACGTCCACGTCCACGACCACGTCCACGTCTACGTCCACGTCCACGACAATGTCCACGTCCACGTCCACGTCCACGTCCACGTCCATGTCCACGTCCATGTCTACGTCCACGTCCACCTCCACGACAATGTCCACGTCCACGTCCACGTCCACGTCCAAGTCCACGTCCACGTCCACGTCCACGTCCACGTTTACGTCCACGTCCACGTCCATGTGCACGTCCATGTCCACGTCCACGTCCACGTCCACGTCCAAGTCGTCCACGTCCACGTCCACGTCCACGTCCACGTCCACGTCCACCACCACGTCCACGTCCACGTCCACGTCCACGACCACGTCCACGTCTACGTCCACGTCCACGACAATGTCCACGTCCACGTCCACGACAATGTCCACGTCCACGACAATGTCCACGTCCACGTCCACGTCAACGTCCAAGTCCACGTCCACGTCCCTGTCCACGTCCACGTCCACGTCCACGACCACGTCCACGTCCACGTCTACGTCCACGTCCACGACAATGTCCACGTCCACGTCCACGACAATGTCCACGTCCACGACAATGTCCACGTCCACGTCCACGTCCACGTCCACGACCACGTCCACGTCCAGGTCCACGTCCACGACCACGTCCACGTCCACGTCCACGTCCACGTCCACGTCCACGTCCACGTCCATGTCCACGTCCATGTCCACGTCCATGTCCACGTCCACGTCCACGTCCACGTCCACGTCCACGTCCACGTCCTCCACGTCTACGTCCACGTCCACCTCCACGTCCACGTCCACCTCCACGTCCACGTCCACGTCCACGTCCACGTCCACGTCCACGTCCATGTCCCCGTCCACGTCCACGTCCACGTCCATGTCCACGTCCACGTCCACGTCCACGTCCACTTCCATGTCCACGTCCACGTCCACGTCCACGTCCATGTCCACGTCCAAGTCCTCCACGTCCACGTCCACGTCCATGTCCACGTCCACGTCCACGTCCACGTCCATGTCCACGTCCATGTCCACGTCCACGTCCACGTCCACGTCCACGTCCACGACAATGTCCACGTCGACATCCACGTCCACGTCCACGTCCACGTCTATGTCCACGTCCACGTCCACGTCCACGTCCACGTCCACGACCACGTCCACGTCCACGACAATGTCCACGTCGACGTCCACGTCCACGTCCACGACAAGGTCCATGTCCACGTCCACGTCCACGTCCACGTTCACGTCCACGTCCATGTCCACGTCCACGTCCACGTCTACGTCCACGTCCACGTCCACGTCCACGTCCACGTCCATGTCCACGTCCACGTCCACGTCCACGTCCATGTCCACGTCCACGTCCACGTCCACGTCCACGTCCACGTCCACGTTCACGTCCACGTCCACGTCCACGTCCACGTCCACGTCCACGTCCACGTCCACGACCATGTCCACGTCCATGTCCACGTCCACGTCCACGTCCACGACCACGTCTATGTCCACGTCCACGTCCACGTCCACGACCACGTCCACGTCCACGTCCACGTCCACGTCCACGTCCACGTCCATGTCCACGTCCACGTCCATGTCCACGTCCACGTCCACGTCCACGTCCACGACCACGTCCACGTCCACGACCACGTCCACGTCCACGTCCATGTCCACGTCCACGTCCACGTCCACGTCCACGTCCACGTCCACGTCCACGACCACGTCCACGACCACGTCCACGTCCACGTCCACGTCCACGTCCACGTCCACGTCCACGTCCACGTCCACGTCCACCTCCACGTCCACGTCCACGTCCACGTCCACGTCCACGTCCACGTCCACGTCCACGTCCCCGTTCACGTCCCCGTCCACGTCCACGTCCACGTCCACGTCCACGTCCACGTCCACGTCCACCTCCACGTCCACGTCCAAGTCCTCCACGTCCACGTCCACGTCCACGTCCACGTCCACGTCCATGTCCACGTCCACGTCCACGTCCACGTCCACCTCCACGTCCACGTCCAAGTCCTCCACGTCCACGTCCACGTCCACGTCCACGTCCATGTCCACGTCCACGTCCACGTCCACAACCATGTCCACGTCCATGTCCACGTCCACCTCGATGTCCACGACAATGTCCACGTCCACGTCCACGTCCACGTCCAAGTCCACGTCCACGTCCACGTCCACGTCCAAGTCCACGTCCACGTCCACGTCCACGTCCATGTCCACGTCCATGTCTACGTCCACGTCCACCTCCACGACAATGTCCACGACAATGTCCACGTCCACGTCCACGTCCATGTCCACGTCCACGTCCACGTCCATGTCCACGTCCACGTCCACGTCCACGTCCATGTCCACGTCCAAGTCCTCCACGTCCACGTCCACGTCCATGTCCACGTCCACGTCCACGTCCATGTCCACGTCCACGTCCACGTCCACGTCCACAACCATGTCCACGTCCATGTCCACGTCCACCTCGATGTCCACGACAATGTCCACATCCACCTCCACGTCCACGTCCAAGTCCACGTCCACGTCCACGTCCACGTCCACGTCCAAGTCCACGTCCACGTCCACGTCCATGTCCACGTCCACGTCCACGTCCACCTCCACGTCCATGTCTACGTCCACGTCCACCTCCACGACAATGTCCACGTCCACGTCCACGTCCACGTCCACGTCCAAGTCCACGTCCACGTCCACGTCCACGTCCACGTCCACGTTTACGTCCACGTCCACGTCCATGTGCACGTCCATGTCCACGTCCACGTCCACGTCCACGTCCACGTCCAAGTCGTCCACGTCCACGTCCACGTCCACGTCCACGTCCACGTCCACAACCACGTCCACGTCCACGTCCACGTCCACAACCACGTCCACGTCTACGTCCACGTCCACGACAATGTCCACGTCCACGTCCACGACAATGTCCACGTCCACGACAATGTCCACGTCCACGTCCACGTCCACGTCAACGTCCACGTCCACGTCCACATCCCTGTCCACGTCGACGTCCACGTCCACGACCACGTCCACGTCCACGTCTACGTCCACGTCCACGACAATGTCCACGTCCACGTCCACGACAATGTCCACGTCCACGACAATGTCCACGTCCACGTCCACGTCCACGTCCACGTCCACGACCACGTCCACGACCACGTCCACGTCCACGTCCACGTCCACGTCCACGTCCACGTCCACGTCCACGTCCACGACCACGTCCACGACCACGTCCACGTCCACGTCCACGTCCACGTCCACGTCCACGTCCACGTCCACGTCGACGTCCACATCCTCCACGTCTACGTCCACGTCCACCTCCACGTCCACGTCCACCTCCACGTCCACGTCCACGTCAACGTCCACGTCCACGTCCACGTCTACGTCCACGTCCACGTCCCCGTCCACGTCCACGTCCATGTCCACGTCCACGTCCACGTCCACGTCCATGTCCACGTCCACGTCCACGTCCACGTCCATGTCCACGTCCAAGTCCTCCACGTCCACGTCCACGTCCATGTCCACGTCCACGTCCACGTCCACGTCCATGTCCACGTCCACGTCCACGTCCACAACCATGTCCACGTCCATGTCCACGTCCACCTCGATGTCCACGACAATGTCCACGTCCACGTCCAAGTCCACGTCCACGTCCACGTCCACGTCCAAGTCCACGTCCACGTCCACGTCCATGTCCACGTCCACGTCCACGTCCATGTCCACGTCCATGTCTACGTCCACGTCCACCTCCACGACAAGGTCCACGTCCACGTCCACGTCCACGTCCACGTCCAAGTCCACGTCCACGTCCACGTCCACGTCCACATTTACGTCCACGTCCACGTCCATGTGCACGTCCATGTCCACGTCCACGTCCACGTCCACGTCCACGTCCAAGTCGTCCACGTCCACGTCCACGTCCATGTCCACGTCCACGTCCACGTCCACGTCCACAACCACGTCCACGTCCACGACCACGTCCACGTCCACGTCTACGTCCACGTCCACGACAATGTCCACGTCCACGTCCACGACAATGTCCACGTCCACGACAATGTCCACGTCCATGTCCACGTCCACGTCAACGTCCACGTCCACGTCCACGTCCCTGTCCACGTCGACGTCCACGTCCACGACAACATCCACGTCCACGTCTACGTCCACGTCCACGACAATGTCCACGTCCACGTCCACGACAATGTCCACGTCCACGACAATGTCCACGTCCACGTCCACATCCACGTCCACGTCGACGTCCACGTCCACGTCCACGTTCCTGTCCACGTCGACGTCGACGTCCACGTCCACGTCCACGACCACGTCCACGTCCACGTCCACGACAATTTCCACGTCCACGTCCACGTCCATGTCCACGTCCATGTCCACGTCCACGTCCACGTCCACGTCAACGTCCACGTCCACGTCCACGTCAATGTCCACGTCCACGTCCACCTCCACGTCCACGTCCACGTCCACGTCCACGTCGACGTCCACGTCCACGTCCACGTCCACGTCCATGTCCACGTCCACGTCCACGTCCACCTCCACGTCCACGTCCACGACCACGTCCACGTCCACGTCCCTGTCCACGTCCACGTCCACGTCCACGTCCACGTCCACGACCACGTCCACGTCCACGTCCACGTCCACGACAATGTCCACGTCCACGTCCACGTCCACGTCCACGTCCACGTCCACGTCCACGTCCACGTCCACTCCACGTCCACGTCCACGTCCACGTCCACGTCCACGTCCAAGTCCACGTCCATGTACACGTCCACGTCCACGTCCAAGTCCACGACAATGTCCACGTCCATGTCCACGACAATGTCCACGTCCACGTCCACGTCCACGTCCATGTCCACGTCCATGTCCACGTCCACGTCCACGTTCACGTCCACGTCCACGTCCACGTCCACGTCCACGTCCTCCACGTCCACGTCCACCTCCACGTCCACGTCCACGTCCATGTCCACGTCCACATCCATGTCCACGTCCATGTCCTCGTCCACGTCCACGTCCACGTCCACGTCCACGTCCACGTCCATGTCCACGTCCACGTCCACGTCCACGTCCACGTCCACGTCCATGTCCACGTCCAAGTCCTCCACGTCCACGTCCACGTCCATGTCCACGTTCACGTCCACGTCCACGTCCATGTCCACGTCCACGTCCACGTCCATGTCCACGTCCATGTCCACGTCCACATCGACGTCCACAACAATGTCCACGTCCACGTCCACGTCCACGTCCACGTCCAAGTCCACGTCCACGTCCACGTCCACGTCCAAGTCCAGGTCCACGTCCACGTCCACGTCCACGTCCACGTCCACGTCCACGTCCATGTCCACGTCCATGTCCACGTCCACGTCCACCTTTACGACAATGTCCACGTCCACGTCCACGTCCAAGTCCACGTCCAAGTCCACGTCCACGTCCACGTCCACGTCCACGTCCATGTCCACGTCCACGTCCACGTCCACGTCCACGTCCAAGTCGTCCACGTCCAAGTCGTCCACGTCCACGTCCATGTCCACGTCCACGTCCACGTCCACGTCCACGTCCACGACAAGGTCCACGTCCACGTCCACGACAATGTCCACGTCCACGTCCACGACAATGTCCACGTCCACGACAATGTCCACGTCCACGACAATGTCCACGTCCACGACAATGTCCACGTCCACGTCCACGTCCACGTCCATGTTCAAGTCCATGTCCACGTCCACGTCCACGTCCACGTCCACGTCGATGTCCACGTCCACGTCCACGTCCACGTCCACGTCGACGTCCATGTCCATGTCCACGTCCATGTCCATGTCCATGTCCACGTCCACGTCCACGTCCACGTCCACGTCCACGTCCACGTCCACGTCCACGTCCATGTCCACGTCCAAGTCCACGTCCATGTCCACGTCCATGTCCACGTCCAAGTCCACGTCCATGTCCACGACAATATCCACGTCCACGTCCACGTCCACGTCCACGTCCACGTCCAGGTCCACGTCCAGGTCCACGTCCAGGTCCACGTCCACGTCCATGTCCAGGTCCACGTCCACGTCCACGTCTACGTCCACGTCCACGTCCACGTCCTCCACGTCTACCTCCACGTCCACGTCCACGTCCACGTCCACCTCCATGTCCACCTCCACGTCCACGTCCACGTCCACGTCCACGTCCACGTCCATGTCCACGTCCACGTCCACGTCCACGTCCACGTCCATGTCCACGTCCAAGTTCTCCACGTCCACGTCCACGTCCATGTCCACGTCCACGTCCACGTCCACGTCCACGTCCACGTCCATGTCCACGTCCACCTCGACGTCCACGACAATGTCCACGTCCACGTCCACATCCACGTCCACGTCCATGTCCACGTCCACGTCCACGTCTTCGTCCACGTCCACGTCCTTGTCCACGTCCACGTCCACTCCACGTCCAAGTCCACGTCCATGTCCACGTCCACGTCCACGTCCAAGTCCACGACAATGTCCACGTCCATGTCCATGTCCACGTCCACGTCCACGTCCACGTCCAGGTCCACGTCCACGTCCAAGTCCACGTCCATGTCCATGTCCACGTCCACGTCCATGTCCACGTCCATGTCCACGTCCACGTCCACGTCCACGTCCACGTCCATGTCCACGTCTACGTCCACGTCCACGTCCACGTCCACGTCCACGTCCACGTCCACGTCCACGTCCACGTCCACGTCCATGTCCACGTCCACGTCCACGTCCACGTCCACGTCCACGTCAATGTCCACGTCCACGTCCACGTCCACGACCACGTCCACGTCCACGTCCCTGTCCACGTCCACGTCCACGTCCACGTCCACGTCCACGTCCATGTCCACGTCCATGTCCACGTCCACGTCCACCTTTACGACAATGTCCACGTCCACGTCCACGTCCAAGTCCACGTCCAAGTCCACGTCCACGTCCACGTCCACGTCCACGTCCATGTCCACGTCCACGTCCACGTCCACGTCCAAGTCGTCCACGTCCAAGTCGTCCACGTCCACGTCCACTTCCATGTCCACGTCCACGTCCACGTCCACGTCCACGTCCACGACCACGTCCACGTCCACGACCACGTCCACGTCCACGACAAGGTCCACGTCCACGTCCACGACAATGTCCACGTCCACGTCCACGACAATGTCCACGTCCACGACAATGTCCACGTCCACGACAATGTCCACGTCCACGACAATGTCCACGTCCACGTCCACGTCCACGTCCATGTTCAAGTCCATGTCCACGTCCACGTCCACGTCCACGTCCACGTCCACGTCGATGTCCACGTCCACGTCCACGTCCACGTCCACGTCCACGTCGACGTCCATGTCCATGTCCACGTCCATGTCCATGTCCATGTCCACGTCCACGTCCACGTCCACGTCCACGTCCACGTCCACGTCCACGTCCACGTCCACGTCCACGTCCATGTCCACGTCCAAGTCCACGTCCATGTCCACGTCCATGTCCACGTCCAAGTCCACGTCCATGTCCACGACAATGTCCACGTCCACGTCCACGTCCACGTCCACGTCCAGGTCCACGTCCACGTCCATGTCCAGGTCCACGTCCACGTCCACGTCTACGTCCACCTCCACGTCCACGTCCTCCACGTCTACCTCCACGTCCACGTCCACGTCCACGTCCACCTCCATGTCCACCTCCACGTCCACGTCCACGTCCACGTCCACGTCCACGTCCATGTCCACGTCCACGTCCACGTCCACGTCCACGTCCATGTCCACGTCCAAGTTCTCCACGTCCACGTCCACGTCCATGTCCACGTCCACGTCCACGTCCACGTCCACGTCCACGTCCATGTCCACGTCCACCTCGACGTCCACGACAATGTCCACGTCCACGTCCACATCCACGTCCACGTCCATGTCCACGTCCACGTCCACGTCTTCGTCCACGTCCACGTCCTTGTCCACGTCCACGTCCACTCCACCTCCAAGTCCACGTCCATGTCCACGTCCACGTCCACGTCCAAGTCCACGACAATGTCCACGTCCATGTCCATGTCCACGTCCACGTCCACGTCCAGGTCCACGTCCACGTCCAAGTCCACGTCCATGTCCATGTCCATGTCCACGTCCACGTCCATGTCCACGTCCATGTCCACGTCCACGTCCACGTCCACGTCCACGTCCATGTCCACGTCTACGTCCACGTCCACGTCCACGTCCACGTCCACGTCCACGTCCACGTCCACGTCCACGTCCATGTCCACGTCCACGTCCACGTCTTCGTCCACGTCCACGTCCTTGTCCACGTCCACGTCCACTCCACGTCCAAGTCCACGTCCATGTCCACGTCCACGTCCACGTCCACGTCTATGTCCACGTCCACGTCCACGTCCTCCACGTCTACCTCCACGTCCACGTCCACGTCCACGTCCACCTCCATGTCCACCTCCACGTCCACGTCCACGTCCACGTCCACGTCCATGTCCATGTCCACGTCCACGTCCACGTCCACGTCCATGTCCACGTCCAAGTCCTCCACGTCCACGTCCACGTCCATGTCCACGTCCACGTCCACGTCCACGTCCATGTCCACGTCCACCTCGACGTCCACGACAATGTCCACGTCCACGTCCACATCTACGTCCACGTCCATGTCCACGTCCACGTCCACGTCTTCGTCCACGTCCACGTCCTTGTCCACGTCCACGTCCACTCCACGTCCAAGTCCACGTCCATGTCCACGTCCACGTCCACGTCCAAGTCCACGACAATGTCCACGTCCATGTCCATGTCCACGTCCACGTCCACGTCCACGTCCAGGTCCATGTCCACGTCCATGTCCATGTCCATGTCCACATCCACGTCCATGTCCACGTCCATGTCCACGTCCACGTCCACGTCCACGTCAAAGTCCACGTCCACGTCCACGTCCACGTCCACGTCCACGTCCACGTCCATGTCCACGTCCACGTCCACGTCTTCGTCCACGTCCACGTCCTTGTCCACGTCCACGTCCACTCCACGTCCAAGTCCACGTCCATGTCCACGTCCACGTCCACGTCCAAGTCCACGACAATGTCCACGTCCATGTCCATGTCCACGTCCACGTCCACGTCCACGTCCAGGTCCACGTCCACGTCCAAGTCCACGTCCACGTCCATGTCCACGTCCACCTCGACGTCCACGACAATGTCCACGTCCACGTCCACATCCACGTCCACGTCCATGTCCACGTCCACGTCCACGTCTTCGTCCACGTCCACGTCCTTGTCCACGTCCACGTCCACTCCACGTCCAAGTCCACGTCCATGTCCACGTCCACATCCACGTCCAAGTCCACGACAATGTCCACGTCCATGTCCATGTCCACGTCCACGTCCACGTCCACGTCCAGGTCCACGTCCACGTCCAAGTCCACGTCCATGTCCATGTCCATGTCCACGTCCACGTCCATGTCCACGTCCATGTCCACGTCCACGTCCACGTCCACGTCCACGTCCATGTCCACGTCTACGTCCACGTCCACATCCACGTCCACGTCCACGTCCACGTCCACGTCCATGTCCACGTCCACGTCTTCGTCCACGTCCACGTCCTTGTCCACGTCCACGTCCACTCCACGTCCAAGTCCACGTCCATGTCCACGTCCACGTCCACGTCCAAGTCCACGACAATGTCCACGTCCATGTCCATGTCCACGTCCACGTCCACGTCCACGTCCAGGTCCACGTCCACGTCCATGTCCACGTCCACGTCCATGTCCACGTCCATGTCCACGTCCACGTCCACGTCCACGTCCACGTCCATGTCCACGTCCACGTCCCTGTCCACGTCCACGTCCACGTCCACGTCAATGTCCACGTCCACGTCCACGTCCACGTCCACGTCCTTGTCCACGTCCACGTCCACGTCCACGACCACTTCCACGTCCACGTCCACGTCCACGTCCACGACAATGTCCACGTCTACGTCCATGTCCACGTCCACGTCCATGTCCACGTCCACGTCCACGTCGTCCACGTCCACGTCCACGTCCACGTCCACGTCCACGACCACGTCCACGTCCACGTCCACGTCCATGTCCACGTCCACGTCCACGTCCACGTTCACGTCCACGTCCACGTCCACGTCTATGTCCACGTCCACGTCCACGTCTACGTCCACGTCTACGTCCACGTCTACGTCCACGTCCACCTCCACGTCCACGTCCACGTCCACGTCCACGTCCACGTCCACCTCCACGTCCACGTCCACCTCCACGGCCACGTCCACGTCCCCGTCCACGTCCACGTCCACGTCCACGTCCCCGTCCACGTCCACGTCCACGTCCACGTCCACGTCCACGGCCACGTCCACGTCCACGGCCACGTCCACGTCCACGTCCACGTCCACGTCCACGTCCACGTCCACGTCCATGTCCACGTCCACGTCCACGTCCACGTCCACGTCCAGGTCCACGTCCAAGTCCTTCACGTCCACGTCCACGTCCATGTCCACGTCCACGTCCACGTCCACGTCCACGTCCAAGTCCATGTCCACGTCCACGTCCACGTCCACGACAATGTCCACGTCCACGTCCACGTCCAAGTCCACGTCCACGTCCACGTCCACGTCCACGTCCACGTCCATGTCCACGTCCACATCCACGTTCAGGTCCACGTCCACGTCCTCGTCCACGTCCTCGTCCACGTCCACATCCACGTCCATGTCCACGTCCACGTCCACGTCCATGTCCACGTCCACGTCCACGTCCACGTCCATGTCCACGTCCGCGTCCACGTCCACGTCCATGTCCACGTCCACGTCCACGTCCACGTCCATGTCCACGTCCACGTCCACGTCCACGTCCACGTCCATGTCCACGTCCACGTCCACGTCCAGGTCCACGTCCACGTCCAGGTCCACGTCCATGTCCACGTCCACGTCCACGTCCAAGTCCACGACAATATCCACGTCCATGTCCACGACAATGTCCACGTCCACGTCCACGTCCATGTCCACGTCCACGTCCACGTCCACGTCCATGTCCACGTCCACGTCCACGTCCACGTCCACGTCCACGTCCATGTCCACGTCCACGTCCACGTCCATGTCCACGTCCAAGTCGACGTCCATGTCCACGTCCACGTCCACGTCCAAGTCCACGACAATGTCCACGTCCATGTCCACGTCCACGTCCACGTCCCCGTCCACGTCCTCGTCCACGTCCCAGTCCATGTCCATGTCCACGTCCATGTCCATGTCCACGTCCACGTCCGCGTCCATGTCCACGTCCACGTCCACGTCCACGTCCACGTCCACGTCCACGTCCACGTCCATGTCCACGTCCACGTCCACGTCCACGTCCACGTCCACGTCCACGTCCACGTCCACGTCCACGTCCACGTCCACGTCCACTTCCACGTCCACGTCCACGACCACGTCCACGTCCACGTCCCTGTCCACGTCCACGTCCACGTCCACGTCCACGTCCACGACCACGTCCACGTCCACGTCCACGTCCACGTCCACGACAATGTCCACGTCCACGTCCACGTCCATGTCCACGTCCAGGTCCACGTCCACGTCCAGGTTCACGTCCATGTCCACGTCCACGTCCACGTCCAAGTCCACGACAATATCCACGTCCATGTCCACGACAATGTCCACGTCCACGTCCACGTCCATGTCCACGTCCACGTCCACGTCCACGTCCATGTCCACGTCCACGTCCACGTCCACGTCCACGTCCACGTCCACGTCCACGTCCATGTCCACGTCCACGTCCACGTCCATGTCCACGTCCAAGTCCACGTCCATGTCCACGTCCACGTCCACGTCCAAGTCCACGACAATGTCCACGTCCATGTCCACGTCCACGTCCACGTCCCCGTCCACGTCCTCGTCCACGTCCCAGTCCACGTCCTCGTCCACGTCCCAGTCCATGTCCATGTCCATGTCCACGTCCACGTCCACGTCCACGTCCACGTCCACGTCCACGTCCACGTCCACGTCCACGTCCACGTCCACGTCCACGTCCACGTCCACTTCCACGTCCACGTCCACGACCACGTCCACGTCCACGTCCCTGTCCACGTCCACGTCCACGTCCACGTCCACGACCACGTCCACGTCCACGTCCACGTCCACGACAATGTCCACGTCCACGTCCACGTCCATGTCCACGTCCATGTCCACGTCCACGTCCACGTCGTCCACGTCCATGTCCACGTCCACGTCCACGTCCACGACCACGTCCACGTCCACGTCCACGTCCACGTCCACGTCCATGTCCATGTCCACGTCCACGTCCACGTCCACGTCCACGTCCATGTCCACGTCCACGTCCACGTCCACGTCCACGTCCACGTCCACGTCCATGTCCACGTCCACGTCCACGTCCATGTCCACGTCCAAGTCCACGTCCATGTCCACGTCCACGTCCACGTCCAAGTCCACGACAATGTCCACGTCCATGTCCACGTCCACGTCCACGTCCCCGTCCACGTCCTCGTCCACGTCCCAGTCCACATCCTCGTCCACGTCCCAGTCCATGTCCATGTCCATGTCCACGTCCACGTCCACGTCCACGTCCACGTCCACGTCCACGTCCACGTCCACGTCCACGTCCACGTCCACGTCCACGTCCACGTCCACGTCCACGTCCACTTCCACGTCCACGTCCACGACCACGTCCACGTCCACGTCCCTGTCCACGTCCACGTCCACGTCCACGTCCACGACCACGTCCACGTCCACGTCCACGTCCACGACAATGTCCACGTCCACGTCCACGTCCATGTCCACGTCCATGTCCACGTCCACGTCCACGTCGTCCACGTCCATGTCCACGTCCACGTCCACGTCCACGACCACGTCCACGTCCACGTCCACGTCCACGTCCACGTCCATGTCCATGTCCACGTCCACGTCCACGTCCACGTCCACGTCCATGTCCACGTCCACGTCCACGTCCACGTCCAGGTCCACGTCCATGTCCACGTCCACGTCCACGTCCACGTCCAGGTCCACGTCCACGTCCACGTCTACGTCCACGTCCACGTCCACGTCGTCCACGTCCACGTCCACGTCCACCTCCTCCACGTCCACGTCCACGTCCACGTCCACGTCCATGTCCACGTCCACGTCCACGTCCACGTCCACGTCCATGTCCCCGTCCACGTCCACGTCCACGTCCATGTCCACGTCCACGTCCACGTCCACGTCCATGTCCACGTCCACGTCCACGTCCACGTCCACGTCCATGTCCACGTCCAAGTCCTCCACGTCCACGTCCACGTCCATGTCCACGTCCACGTCCACGTTCCTGCCACGTCCATGTCCACGTCCACGTCCACGTCCATGTCCACGTCCATGTCCACGTCCACGTCCACCTCCACGACAATGTCCACGTCCTCGTCCACGTCCACGTCCAAGTTAACGTCCACGTCCACGTCCACGTCCGCGTCCAAGTCCACGTCCATGTCCACGTCCACGTCCACGTCCACGTCCATGTCCACGTCCACGTCCACGTCCACGTCCATGTCCACGTCCACGTCCAGGTCCACGTCCATGTCCACGTCCACGTCCACGTCCAAGTCCACGACAATATCCACGTCCATGTCCACGACAATGTCCACGTCCACGTCCACGTCCATGTCCACGTCCACGTCCACGTCCACGTCCACGTCCACGTCCATGTCCACGTCCACGTCCACCTCCACGACAATGTCCACGTCCACGTCCACGTCCACGTCCACGTCAAAGTCCACGTCCACGTCCACGTCCACGTCCACGTCCACGTCCATATCCACGTCAATGTCCACGTCCACGTCCACGTCCACGTCCACGTCAAAGTCCACGTCCACGTCCACGTCCACGTCCACGTCCACGTCAAAGTCCACGTCCACGTCCACGTCCACGTCCACGTCCATGTCCACGTCCACGTCCACGTTCATGTCCACGTCCACGTCCACCGTCCACGTCCACGTCCACGTCCATGTCCCCGTCCACGTCCACGTCCACGTCCATGTCCACGTCCACGTCCACGTCCACATCCATGTCCACGTCCACGTCCACGTCCACGTCCACGTCCATGTCCACGTCCAAGTCCTCCACGTCCACGTCCACGTCCATGTCCACGTCCACGTCCACGTCCACGTCCACGTCCATGTCCACGTCCACGTCCACGTCCATGTCCACGTCCATGGCCACGTCCACGTCCACCTCCACGACAATGTCCACGTCCACGTCCACGTCCAAGTTAACGTCCACGTCCACGTCCACGTCCGCGTCCAAGTCCACGTCCATGTCCACGTCCACGTCCACGTCCACGTCCATGTCCACGTCCATGTCCACGTCCACGTCCACCTCCACGACAATGTCCACGTCCACGTCCACGTCCACGTCCACGTCAAAGTCCACGTCCACGTCCACGTCCACGTCCACGTCCATGTCCACGTCCACGTCCACGTCCACGTCCACGTCCACGTCCAAGTCGTCCACGTCCACAACCACGTCCATGGTTGCCTGGTCTAGGAGCGTGCCTGGTTCAGGATCTTGCCTCGTCCAGGAGCTTGCCTGGTCCCGGAGCTTGCCTGGTCCAGGAGCTTGCCTGGACCAGGAGCGTGCCTGGTCCAGGAGCATGCCTGGTCCGGGAGCTTGCCTTGTCCAAGAGCTTGCCTGGTCCAGGAGCTTGCCTTGTACAGGAGCGTGCCTGGTCCAGGTTTGCGCCTAGTCCAGGAACTTGCTTGGTTCAGAAGCTTCCCTGGTCCAAGAGCTTGCCTGGTTCAGGAGCGTGCCTTGTCCATGAGCTTGCGTGGTCTAGGAGCTTGCCTGGTCCAGGAGCGTGCCTGGTCCAGGAGCTTGCCTGTTCCAGGAGCTTGCCTTGTCCAAGAGCTTGCCTAGTCCAGGAGCTTGCCTGGTTTAGGAGCTTGCCAGGTCCAGGAGCTTGCCTGGTCCAAGAGCTTGCCTGGTCCAAGAGCTTGCGTGGTCCAGGAGCTTGCCTGGTCCTGGAGCGTGCCTGGTCCAGTAGCCTGCTTGGTCCAAGAGCTTGCCTCGTCCAGGAGCGTGCCTTATCCACGAGCGTGCCTGGTCCACGAGCTTGCCTGGTCCAAGAGCTTGCGTGGTCTAGGAGCTTGCTTGGTCCTGGAGCGTGCCTGGTCCAGGAGCTTGCCTTGTCCAAGAGCTTGCCTTGTCCAGGAGCGTGCCTGGTCCACGAGTTTGCCTGGTCTAGGAGCTTGCCTGGTCCAGGAGCTTGCCTTGTCTAGGAGCTTGGTTGGTCTAGAAGCTTGCCTGGTCCAGGAGCTTGCCTGGTCCAGGAGCTAACCTGGTCCACGAGCCTGCCTGGTCCAAGAGCTTGCCTGGTCAAGGAGCGTGCTTGGTCCACGAGCGTCCCTGGTCCAGGAGCTTGCTTGGTCTAGGAGCTTGCCCGGTCCACGAGCTTGCCTTGTCCAGGAGCATGCCTGGTCCAGGTTTGTGCCTGGTCCAGGAGCTTGCTTGGTCCAGAAGCTTGCTTGGTCCAAGAGCTTGCCTAGTTCAGGAGCGTGCCTAGTCCAAGAGCTTGCCTGGTGTAGGAGCTTGCCTGGTCCAGGAGCGTGCCTGGTCCAGGAGCTTGCCTGTTCCAGGAGATTGCCTTGTCCACGAGCATGCCTAGTCCAGGAGCTTGCCTGGTCCAGGATTTTGCCTTGTCTAGGAGCTTGCCTGGTCCAGGAGCGTGCCTGGTTCAGGAGCTTGCCTGGTCCAGGAGCTTGCCTGGTCCAGGAGCTTGCCTGGTCCAGGAGCTTGCCTGGTCCAAGAGCGTGCCTGGTCCACGAGTTTGCCTGGTCCAGAAGCTTGCCTGGTCGAGGAGCTTGCCTGGTCTAGGAGCTTACATGGTCCAGGAGCGTGCCTGGTCCAGGAGCTTGCCTGGTCCAGGAGCTATCCTGGTCCAGGAGCTTGCCTGGTCAAGGAGCTTGCCTTGTCCAGGAGCTTGCCTTTTCCACGAGCGTGCCTGGTCCAGGAGCTTGCCTTGTCCAGGAGCTTTCTTGGTCCGTTGCCTGGTCCAGGAGCTTGCCTGGTCCAAAAGCCTTCCTAGTCCAAGAGCTTGCCTGGTCCAAGAGCGTGCATGGTCCACGAGCGTGCCTGGTTCAGAAGCTTGCCTGGTCCAGGAGCTTGCCTTGTCCAGGAGCTTTCGTGGTCAAGGAGCTTGCCTAGTCCAGGAGATTGCCTGGTCCAGGAGCTTGCCTGGTCCACAAGCCTGCCTGGTCCAAGAGCTTGCCTGGTCCAAGAGCGTGCATGGTCCACGAGCGTGCATGGTCCAGGACCTTGCCTGGTCCAGGAGCTAGCCTGGTCCAGGAGCGTGCTTGGTCGAAGAGCTTGCGTGGTCCAGGATCTTGCGTGGTCCAGGAGCTTGCCTGGTCCAGGAGCTTGCCTGGTCCAGGAGCTTGCCTGGTCCAAGAGCTTGCCTGGTCCAAGAGCTTGCGTGGTCCAGGAGCTTGCCTGGTCCAGGAGCTTGCCTGCTCTAGGAGCTTGCCTGGTCCAGGAGCATGGTTGGTCCACGAGCTTGCTTGGTCCAGAAGCTTGCCTGGTTCAGGAGCTTGCCTGGTCCAAGAGCTTGCCTGGTCCAAGAGCTATCCTGGTCCAGGAGCTTGCCTTGTCCAGGAGCTTGCCTGGTCCTAGAGCTTACCTGGTCCATGATCTTGCTTGGTCCAAGAGCGTGCCTGGTCCAAGAGCTCGCCTCGTCCTGAAGTTTGCCACGTCCAGGAGCTTGCCTGGTCCAGGAGCTTGCCTTGTCCAGGAGCTTGCCTGGTCCAAGAGCTTGCGTGGTCCAGGAGCTTGCCTGTTACAGGAGCTTGCCTGGTCCCAGGAGCTTGCCTGGTCCAGGAGCTTGCCTGTTCCACGAGCGTGCGTGGTCCAGGAGCTTACCTGGTCTATGAGCTTGCATGGTCCATGAGCGTGCCTGGTCCAGGAGCTTGCCTGGTCCAGGAGCTATCCTGGTCCAGGAGCTTGCCTTGTCCAGGAGCTTGCCTGGTCGTAGAGCTTGCCTGGTCGAGGATCTTGCTTGGTCCAAGACCGTGCCTAGTCCAGGAGCTTGCCTGGTCCTGAAGTTTGCCTCGTCCAGGAGCTTGCCTGGTCCAGGAGCTTGCCTCGTTCGGGAGCGTGCCTGATCCTGGAGCTTGCGTGGTCCAAGAGCGTGCCTGGTCCAGGAGCTTGCGTGGTCCAGGAGCTTGCCTGGTCCAAGAGCTATCCTGGTCCAGGAGCTTGCCTTGTCCGGGAGCTTGCCTGGTCCTAGATCTTGCCTGGTCCATAATCTTGCTTGGTCCAAGAGCGTGCCTGGTCCAAGAGCTTTCCTCGTCCTGAAGTTTGCCTCGTCCAGGATCTTACGTGGTCCAGGAGTTTGCCTGGTCCAGGAGCTTGCCTGGTCCAGGAGCTTGCGTGGTCCAGGAGCTTGCCTGGTCCTAGAGCTTGCCTGGTCCAGGATCTTGCTTGGTCCAAGAGCGTGCCTGGTCCAAGAGCTTGCCTGGTCCTGAAGTTTGCCTCGTCCAGGAGCTTGCCTGGTCCAGGAGCTTGCCTGGTCCAGGAGCTTGCCTGGTCCAGGAGCTTGCGTGGTCCAGGAGCTTGCGTGGTCTACGAGCTTGCCTCATCCAGGAGCTTGCCTTGTCCAGGAGCGTGCCTGGTCCACGAGTTTGCCTGGTCCAGGAGCTTGCCTGGTCTAGGAGCTTGCATGGGCTAGGAGTGTGCCTGGTCCCGGAGCTTGCCTGGTCCAGTAGCTATCCTGGTCCGGGAGCTTGCCTGGTCCAGGAGCTTGCCTGGTCCAGGAGCTTGCCTGTTCCACGAGCGTGCCGGTCTAGGAGCTTGCCTTGTCCAGGAGCTTTCTTGGTCCGTTAGCTTTCCTGGTCTAGGAGCTTGCCTGGTCCAGGAGCTTTCCTGATCCAAGAGATTGCCTCGTCCAGGAGCTTGCCTGGTCCAGGAGCTTGCCTGGTTCAGGAGCGTGCCTGATCCACGAGCTTGCCTGGTCCAAGAGCGTGCCTGGTCCAGGAGCGTGCCTGGTCCACGAGCGAGCCTGGTCCAGGAGCTTGCGTGGTCCAAGAGCTTGCCTTGTCCAAGAGCTTGCGTGGTCCAGGAGCTTGCCTGGTCCAAGAGCTTGCCTGCTCTAAGAGCTTGCCTGGTCTAGGAGCTTGCCTGGTCCAGGAGCTTGCCTGGTCCAGGAGCGTGCCTGGTCCACGAGTTTGCCTGGTCCAGAAGCTTGCCTGGTCCAGGAGCGTGCCTGGTCGAGGAGCTTGCCTGGTCCAGGAGCTATCCTGGTCTAGGAACTTGCCTGGTCCAGGAGCTTGCCTGGTCCAGGAGCTTGCCTGTTCCAGGAGCGTGCCTGGTCCAGTAGCTTGCCTTCTCCAGGAGCTTTCTTGGTCCGTTAGCTTGCCTCGTCCAGGAGCTTGCCTGGTCTAGGAGCTTTCCTAGTCCAAGAGGTTGCCTGGTCCAGGAGCTTGCTTGGTCTAGTAGTTTGCCTGGTCCAGGAGCGTGCCTGATCCACGAGCTTGCCTTGTCTAATAGCGTGTCTGGTCCAAGAGTGTGCCTGGTCCATGAGCGAGCCTGGTCCAGGAGCTAGCCTGGTCCAGGAGCTTGCGTGGTCCAGGAGCTTGCCTGGTCCAGGAGCCTGCCTGGTCCAAGAGCTTGCCTGGTCCAGGAGCGTGCATGGTCCACGAGCGTGCCTCGTCTAGGAGCTTGCCTGGTCCAGGAGCTTGCCTGGTCAAGGAGCTTGTCTGGTCCGGGAGCTTGCCTGGTCCAGGAGCTTGCTTGGTCCACGAGCCTTCCTGGTCCAAGAGCTTGCCTGGTCCAAGAGCATGCATGGTCCACGAGCGTGCCTGGTCCAGGAGCTTGCCTGGTCCAGGAGCTTTCCTGGTCCAGTAGCTTGCCTTGTCCAAGAGCTTGCTTGGTCCAAAAACCTGCCCAGTCCAAGAGCTTGCCTGGTCCAAGAGCATGCCTGGTCCACGAGCGTGCCTGGTCCAGGAGCTTGCATGGTCCAGGAGCTTGCCTGGTCCAGGAGCTTGCCTTGTCCAAGAGCTTGCTTGGTCCAGAAACCTGCCCAGTCCAAGAGCTTGCGTGGTCAAGGAGCTTCCCTGGTCCAGGAGCTTGCGTGGTCCAGGAGCTTGCCTAGTCCAAGAGCTTGCCTGGTCCAAGAGCTTGCGTGGTCTCGGAGCTTGCCTGGTCAACGAGCTTGCCTGGACTAGGAGCTTGCCTGGTCCAGGAGCTTGCCTGGTCCAGGAGCGTGCCTGGTCCACGAGTTTGCCTGGTCCAGGAGCTTGCCTGGTCTAGGAGCTTGCATGGTCTAGGAGCGTGCCTGGTCCCGGAGCTTGCCTGGTCCAGTAGCTATCCTAGTCCAGGAGCTTGCCTGGTCCAGGAGCTTGCTTGTTCCACGAGCGTGCCTGGTCCAGGAGCCTGCCTTGTCCAGGAGCTTTCTTGGTCCATTAGCTTGTCTGGTCCAGGAGCTTGCCTAGTCCAGGAGCTTTCCTGGTCCAAGAGCTTGCCTGGTCCAGGAGCTTGCCTGGTCCAGGAGCTTGCCTGGTCCAGGAGCGTGCCTGATCCACGAGCTTGCCTGGTCCAAGAGCGTGCCTGGTCCACGAGCGTGCCTGGTCCACGAGCGAGCCTGGTCCAGGAGCTTGTGTGGTCCAAGAGTTTGCCTGGTCCAGGAGCTTGCGTGGTTTAGGAGCTTGCCTGGTCCACGAGCCTGTTTGGTCCAAGAGCTTGCCTGGTCAAGGAGCGTGCATGGTCCGCGAGCGTGCCTGGTCCAAGAGCTTGCCTGGTATAGGAGCTTGCCTGATCAAGGAGCTTGCCTGGTCCGGGAGCTTGCCTGGTCCAGCAGCTTGCCTGGTCCACGAGCCTGCCTGGTCCAAGAGCTTGCCTGGTCCAGGAGCGTGCATGGTCCACGAGCGTGCCTGGTCCAGGAGCTTGCCTGGTCCAGGAGCTTGCCTGGTCCAGGAGCTTGCCTGGTCCAAGAGCTTGGTCCAGAAGCCTGCCTGCTCCAAGAGCTTCCCTGGTCCAGGAGCGTGCCTGGTCCAAGAGCTTGGGTAGTCCAGGCGCTTGCGTGGTCCTGGAGCTTGCTTGGTCCAGGAGCTTGCGTGGTCCAGGAGCTTGCCTGGTCCAAGAGCTTGCCTGGTCCAAGAGCTTGCGTGGTCCAGGAGCTTGCCTGGTCCAGGAGCTATCCTGGTCCAGGAACTTGCCTGGTCCAGGAGCTTGCCTGGTCCAGGAGCTTGCCTATTCCACGAGCGTGCATGGTCATGGAGCTTGCCTTGTCCAGGAGCTTTCTTGGTCCATTAGCTTGCCTAGTCCAAGAGCTCGCCTGGTCCAGGAACTTTCCTGGTCCAAGAGCTTGGCTGGTCCAGGAGCTTGCCTGGTCCAGGAGCTTGCCTTGTCCAGGAGTGTGCCTAATCCACGAGTTTGCCTGGTCCAAGAGCGTGGCTGGTCCAGGAGCGTGCCTGGTCCAC